TTTGCTTTGGGGTGGGGCTTTTTTATTCACTGTGCTAGAACTCTCAGGACCTCTTTAAGGTGGAGGCTCACCTTTTGTTCCTTTTTTTATTTCTCTTTCTGGAAATTTCATTAATTGGATGTTGTATTGATTCTTCAGTTTTCTTAGTTTTTTTCCTCTCTAGTTAACCTCTTCATCTTTGTATTTTACTTTCTGGAAGATTTCCTCAACTTTCTCCTCCGATATATTTTTTGAACTTGTTATTTTAGCCGTAAGTTTTTTATGTCTAAGCTCTTTACATTGTCTTCAATTGTTCCTTTTAAAATGTTTTTCACATTATTCTGTTCTTGTTCGGTGGTTGCAATGTAGTCACTCATCCCTCTGAAGATATTGATTATAGAGTTGGTTGGTTGTTCCTTAGCCTTCACTGTTTCCTCATATTATCTGTACTATTTTCAAGTTCCCCTTTTCCTAATAATTTGAGCCCTGTCTTTCATATTTGAGACTCCCCCCGATGTCTGGTGACCCTTTGTTGTCAGGTAAGAGTGAGGCCCTAGCTCCTGGGGTCGGAGCCCCGCGGTGGGGTAGGCCTGATGACCTGCGGGCTGCACAGTGGGTGATGCAGCAGGGAGCTGGCCTCTATAACAGGAGGCCACAGAGCCTGTAGGTGCTGGTCCTCTCTCTGGAACTCTTTAGTTTCTCCAGAGATGCATCCTTTAATTTCCAGCATTTAGAGCGTACACCTGGCTGCCGAGGTACCAGAAGCAGGAAGGAGGGTGAGCCTGGAGGGGGCCACCATTCAGTCACCATTCACTGTGCATAGTTACCCCCTCCTTTCACTCTGGAGTCTTACTTCCTCCTTCACCTCCTTCCCCATCAGTCTGGTGTTCTGGAGCCCTGAGCCCTACTGGTCCCGTTTCTGCAGAAAATACTTCTGCAACAGGGGTAGGGATCTGGGAGTCTAATGGCTTTGTGTATAGGCCTGTTCCCATCTGCCTGTCTCAGCCCTAAACTCGCACCCACCCACCTCCAGGCCCTCCACCGTCATCCCAGGGGTATCTGGTGGCTCGGGGCCCTGGGACCTCCGTCACCGCCTCCACTCTGCTACACCCCAGACCATCCACTTCCCACACCTCCACACACCCGATGGCATCTCTCTCGTGTTGTACTCCTCTCTTGCACTTTATTTTAGTGGCCCCAATACTTCCTCCACTTTGATTGTCATCTTAGAAGAATATTGGCAGAGAAGAGAGATAAACCCACGTGTCCGTTCTGTCACTGCCCACCTACTCCTCCTCAGAGGCAGCTCCTGTACCAGAGAAGATGCGAGAAAGAGAGGGGGAGGGTATGAGAGTGTGAGCGTGTGAGAGAAGAGTGTGTGTGTGTGTGTGTGTGTGTGTGTGTGAAGCCCTGTGACAGACACTCTGGGGGTGCTGCAGCCAGCAACAGCATTGGACATATTCTAGTCATTTGGGGAACAGGGCAGGGTACAAATAAGAACCGAAAGAAAAAGTGGCCTTATTGTTGAAATGGGGATGTGGCCGCAGAGTGGTGATTTTGAAGCGGATACATACACTCAGTTCAAGGGATTAAGTCCTGGGAATTTCATTGTTTAGAATTCTTATTACGTCACTCCAGGAGTCGCAGGGTCCTTGGTGTTTCACGCTTTGCTCCAGATTGACCGGCTGATTCTTTCATTCATTCCGTCAGCAAGTTTTGGTGGAGCCCATATGTATCAGGCAGTATGCTTAGTGCAGGGGATAAATGGCCATCAGGCATCGTCCTCATCCTGGTGAAGCTTTTAGTCCAGTGGCAGGGCAGTAGGGGCAGGTAAACGTTAATCGGGCAGGTACCTGATGTGCGTCTGAAGACCAGGTCCGGTCCCAGAGATGGGGAAGGAATCCCAGAGGACCGGAGATTGGAGCGGAGCCCGATGTGACAGTGCAGGGCTTTTCGAATCCTGACGTGCTGTGGTATCAATTTAAATATCTGTTTTGCTCTCAGGGCAGACATCCTCATGTTTAGTGTAGACCTGTTGGCACTGGTTTTGTGGGCGTCCTGAGTGGGCACTGAGGCACGTCTCATGCATTATCCCCTCTGTCCCCGCAGTGCCCACAGGGTAGGGGGCTTGCTTAAGCATTGGGGTGTCAGGTTGGGGTCTGCTGTGCCTAGAGCACTTCTTCCTCCTCCCCCTGCAGCCTCCCATCCTGGGACTCAGGACTGAGCTCACAAGGGCAGAGTTTAGACCTGAAATTCTGCAGGCGCGCCCATGTAGCCACCTGCCACATTTACCTTGTAGCTCATCTAACTTGGGATGGGAAGAGTTTAGGTTAGATAGCACCTTTACGTGCCTGGGTTGTAAAGAAGCTTTGGGTACTTCTTATCGCTCCACGGAGGGCAGGGCTGCGAAGGCCCAGGCTGTTACACCAGGGCCACTTCCCTAGTCCGGCTGGGAGCCAGGCCCGGGCCTTCCCACTTCCTGCTTAGCAGTGGAGCCGGCAGCCAGTGTGGATCCGGCCTGCGGGCCCCAGGCTGCAGGCAGCTGCGCTCTGTCCAGATACACACACGCACGCACACACACACACACACACACACACACACACACACACACACACACTCCCCTGCCCCCTGTCTTTCTCTCCCTCTTCTCTCTCTCACCCTCACCTCCCTCCACACCTCCCCTTGGCTGGGGTTGGAGGGCGATACACATTTTCACTTCATTGCAAAGGAGTCGTGGCCTCAGGGCAAAGCTGGGCCTTTGGATGTCTGTGTTGAATGTTTCTCAGGAGCGGATTGGAGGACTGTAACTGCCGCGATGAGAAGGAGAGAAGGGGGCCTCTGAGGAGGGAGCAGGTCCACTGCCTGCTTTCTCCCTTGGCAGTCCTGCGCCGGCCTCTTTATCCTACCAAGGTGTCTTCTCATTCAGAAAAGGGAAAATTCTAGCAGTGGGTGAGAGGAGGGAATCATCATTTTCAAACCCTGGAAACAATAGCCTTGATTTAGTGTGCATAACGCCCCTCAGTGGAATTTCCAGTAGCCTGGAAAGCCCTTCTGAACTGCCTGCCTTTTCCGTGGAAGGTTGGACACAGCTCTCTTCCTTCTGAGTCCCAGCCTGTGGTCCCACAGCCTTTGAGTGTTCTGCAGTCTCTCTATTTTTAAAAATTTATCAAAAGTAATGCATTTATTATAGAGAAACCACATAGGTTCCCTTATTTCTTTGTTCCTATAGCATCTTTTCACATTTTAATGGTTCTGAAATTGGGATGCATCTTAAAATAGATTTGTGCATTTTGATACGATATTTCTTTTTTCCTGAAGGAGTGTTCTTTAAATCCATGGGTGATTCCCAAATGACTACATCTTAGAACTGAGGAAATACAATAAAAGTACAGTTTGGGAAACAAAAATCTTTCAAACATGGAACCCATGGGAGAAAACAAAGCAAAAGGGATCCTTGGGAGTGGGAAGTTGGGGCCACTGCTTCCAATTTCATGTTTTCTGAGCAACTTTATGTATGACCGTTTCGGGGGGAGATGCGGACAGGGCCTGATCCTGTTCCGTCGTGTTTCTTTCTGTGAGGGTGACATACTTGGAGCAGACGTTCCCTGAGATTGTCCCCATACCACTCCTCCTTCAGATTTCAGGTCAAACATATCTGCGTATTTAGAATAAGGACCTTTCTTTTCCCTTTGTTGCACTTGCTAACTTATGATCGTTGGGTTTGAAAGAAGGCATTTTTCTTTTGCCAGTTGGCCTTTGGGCTTTCCAGAGGCCCCTCAGAGAGCGTGGCCGTCGGGGCTCTGGGGACCATCCCAGTGGAGCCACCCCCACCCCCCTGCCCTGCGCATGTGACAGTCCGAGGTCGTGGGCCTCCTGTGCAGTGTGGACACGGGATGGGGCTGCATCAGGGCCATTTTGTGTAAAGAATGGAGGTGATTTCAGCAGTTTGTGAGAACGGCCTGGAGCTTGTCAGATCAAGGACGGGTTCCCAAAGTCTAAGCCTCAGAAGGACGAGCAGGGAGATGCCCAGAGTGCCCTGGCAGGGGCAGGGGTGGCGGCTGCAGAGCTCACCCCCAAAAGGGCACTGCTCCCAGTCTTCTGGGGGGTCCCCCATTGGGGTCCAGCTAGGGTGTGGGAGGTTGATTAATACTCTGACCTGTTAGGCCGCTGAGGGAGGAAGCAGCCCAGGCCCTGATGGTCCGTTAATGAGTATTTTGGAGAGAATGGGGAGAGCGCATCCTGGCCGGCCTCCGTCTCCTCTCCCGTGTCCTTGTGAACGCTTCCCACTAGCCCCAGCCCCGCAGTCCCATGCACAGGTCCTGTAAGACTCAAATCAAGGCCGGCTTCATCCTTGAATGCTGCTTAGAGGAAAATTTTTGCAGCTGAATACAAGAAGATGGCTCTTTAGACTATAAACAAGCAACTGAGTCTTTTTAAATTTTCCTATCATGCTACAGTTTGCGACCTTGACTACCACTCACAGAGCTTGTGCCGAGAAGAAACAGTGCATCTCTCAGCTCCCCCCCCCCCCCCAGCACCCAGCAGAGTCCCAGTGACGGCAGCCCCTGGCCAGCCCGGGTCCCAGACGGAGCAGGAGGCTGTGCCAGGCTCACGGCAGGCGGTGCCCCTTTCAGGTGGCATTTCACGCCCCATTGGACTTTTTTCTGCACCCTGTACTATCCCCCGAGTAAGTGGTAATGAGCAACTTAATTTGCTGACTTCTCCAATCCCTTCTTGGTCCATGACAACAAAATTTGCTCTTTTCTCATTAGAACCACTTTTGTCAGGGTGTCTTTAATCAATGGCTTCCCCAGGGACAGTATTTTTAGAAGTTGTTATTTTTCACACTCTCCCTTTACCCCTCTTGGAAAATCTCTTCCCAGGGCCTCATGAAATGGACTAATGAGATGCCGCACGAGTCCGGGCTGGAGTTAATTGGTGCAGGTACGAAGAAGCTGCTCACACGCCCTCGGCTGCATCCTGCCTCACCTGCTGTCCTTTTCTCCATCTCTTTGGTGTAGGTTGCACAGACAGCAGATGGTGTGGATGCTGACCTCTGGAAAGACGGCTTATTTAAATCCAAGGTTACCAGATACCTGTGTTTCACAAGATCATTTTCCAAAGAAAATGTAAGTCTTAGTGGTTTTCTGTTTGCTACGTGAGCACAAGTCATTTACATTCCTGTTTGAAATCTCCTCGTCTTTTGGTTGTGGTTTATTTTCATCACTATGTTAATTTATCTGTGGTTTTAGTGAATGGGGTAGAATCAGCAGCCTGTGCTGTGTTTCATTTATTAACAGTATTATTAACCACATACCCAAGTGTACAGTGAATTCCATTAAAACGTGTTCTCCAAAGGAGACTAGGAGATTTCTCTCACAGCTCTTGTCTGCCTGCCTTTCCTGCAAGTAACAAGTCACAGGGTAGTACAGAGGTAAGTGTCTTCCAGGGGAGCTGGATTTAAAGCTGACCAACAGATGGGAGCATAGCTAGAAGGATGCCACGCGGTCACCCCTCCCCCAGACATGGCCTTGTTAACTTTCTCCCCGAGTCTCTCTGACATATGACATTTCATCGTTTCTGCAGGTAGGTATCCACCACACAGGCAGATTTCTTTTACTGTGTTGTTTAATACTTAAGCCCATAAATTAGGAAATTTTAAAGACATCTACTAAAGCTCTTCCAACAAAGTATTCTAATGGGTGGCTCAGAAAAAAGAGAAGTGGCTTTCGTGAGCGTCCACCCTGTGTGAGACCTGTCCTGGGCACTCTGCACATATGCCACCTCTGTCCTCAGACAGGCTCTTGAAGTACTAGCTCCTTTCCAACATCAGGGAGTTTTCATGCTTGTCCAAGGCCACCTGTCTTTCCTAACTCCAAATAGGGAGCAGTCAGATTTTCATTTTTAAGGTGACATTTTATTTTGGGCCTGAGTGCTAAAAAAAAAAAAAAAAAAAAATTGGGTGGGAAATATTTTGATAGATTTTATTATAACAGTAATACATGTTCATGATTTATAAAGAAAAAATCAGGTTCAAACATCCCCATTCAGAAGCATGGAAGGGGAAAGGCAACGGTCTTTCTCCATCACAAACCCCACAGCCCCGTGGTCCTATCACGGTCCTCGTGCGTCCCTGCAGCATTTGCTGGCTGTGGACAGTCACACAGTTCTCTGGCCCGCACCCTCTTCCACCAGCCATTCCTGTTGTTTGTTGGTAAGTCTTTGTTAGGAAAATGATTCCTAACAGACTCAGGGAGAACTCATTGCTTTAATTTTTTCCCACTAATGATGAGAGTAATACATGCTTGCTGTAAAGAACAGAGTTTCTGGTGGAGTAGGGGAAAGTCCTGGCAGGTGAGCCTGCGGTGGGTCTGAGCAGGTCCCTCATGTCACGGTGCAGCCGAGGAGACCCCAGGAACAGGTCTGAAGGCCGGGTTACCCTTCCAGACATGGGGCTCGTGATCTTAGGGGTAGTGCCCCCTTGGCCCCATCCTTCCCTCCTGCGTCCACATCCACATACAGTTCTCTCTTGTCCCCTTTGTCCCTGGAGCTTACCTAAACCTTTTTTGAAACTAGTCGTATTCTTAGCTTTTGTCACCTCTTTTCTGCCCACTGGCTACCCTTTCTGCAGAAGGCCTGTGTGTTCACTGCCGCTCAGGGCTGTGGGGAACAACTCCTGAGGGTTGAGCATCTTGTTCACACCCTCACTCTGCCGGGTGGTTTCATGTGTTCACTCCTGGTCTCCACTCAGCCTCTCCTACTGAAGAGGAGGCCGTGGCCGCAAGGGACAGCTACGATCTCGTTGGTCATTTTTTATTTCTGTTTTTGTTGCATTTCCTTGAAGGCCGTGGGGTGTCGGTGCTCTAGGCCAGAAGAGCCCCTGATCCCTTGGAGTGGGGACAATGACAGGCCTCAAAATGATAGAGAGAAGTCACTGGGGCTTGTTAATTTTAGGCGTCACGGGTAAGTGGATGATAGAAAATACACCGATTTAGTCAACATTTGTCGAACGTTCAGATGTTCCTTGAGTGCCTACTATGCGTGTCTTGCTCCATGAGGGCTGGGCAGACGTGGGGAGGTGGGCGTGATGAGGGGATGCAAGATGAGGACAAGGGCAGTGGGAGAATCCTCTGCCCCTCTTTTGAGGCAGTAAGGAAATTAGGTGCATCTTATTTTCAGAAAAAGAAAGAATGGGTCCTATAGTGAGATCCAGAGGGATACAGCTGAAGGGGTGGCAGGGGCCCACTTGCCAGCCCAGGATTAGAGCAGGAATAAGGCATATTTTAATGTTACAGCCGGTCTGTCCCGGCCCTGCTGTCAGAGCCAAGACTTTGCATGACAGTTTTTTACAACTGCAAAGGAGGGATGTGGAATCTCAAGACTGGACAGATTCTTAATTAGGTGACTTGAGATTCGCTGTGTAGGAGTTTGCAGAGACTCCTTTGGAGCCTAAATTCCTTTCCCCCAATAATGCTATTAATACAGAAACCTGGCTTTGGAGTGACATTGCTTCCTGGGGAAGGATTGAGATTAATTGCACTTTTCATGCCCTGTACTTTCTGCATTACCTGTAATAATAATGTACATAGATTAGGTAGGGAGGATATTAAACAGAAGAATTTATGAACATTTGAATATTAAGTTGGTTATCTGTGGCTACCTTAAATGCAAGGTTGTCAAAAATAATTACAGTATACTAGCAAATACTGGCTACCAGAGACAATATAAATACCCTGAGTCAGTGCATATTGGGCTTTTGGCATGAATCATTTGCTCAACAAGGATTGGGAATACGTTCTTCATATTTATGAGGAGGAAATGAAAGAGAGCACGGGATGGGGGAGGGGAGAGGAACAAGCAAAATTAATGGTGTCGCAGAATTTCTGTATTAAACCCGGTGCAGTGGCAGCCCCTGCACGGAGGGACCACACTTGGGCTGCGGGAAGCTCTGACAGGGCAGGCTCCCGTTCCATATGCACAGGAGGGGTTTTTTCATGCTTTTTTTCATGGCTGCACCACTGATGTTCTGGTTTTATGATCAGGGACATTTGTAGAGTGTGGAGTGTGAGGTCGCTAAGTGGTTTGCAGTTGACTTCTGTAAAACCCAACTTTTGTCAAGTAGAAGACGTTTGAGAAGGATACTGGTGAACACCCGTCCATCTATGGGGCAGGAAAACATACCCAGTTGTTAATTTCTCAATGCAGAAAACAGCGATGACGTGGAAAAGCAACTGCCATGAAAAAAAAGTTATGATAGATTAGATCAGGTGATTCTGAAAGCAGGTGATGCTCGCGAGCTGGGTTAATGGTTCAAACCCTTCCTCCACAGTCAGAGATTTATTCCGCATCAGTGAGGGTTTCGCTTTCCACTTGCTGCGCTGATCTGTGCATTGTTTTCCTGGGACCCAGCTACCTGAAATGTAATAATATTAAATCCTCGGCAAACACCATATTTCTAGAGAAACGGTTTTGTGACCACAGTGCCGAAAAAACACTGGTCATAGTTTATACTTGACATTTTGACCTTCATGGCTAAATTTCAAGAATTTATTTCATTTGTGTACTTTTGGTTTATAATACATTTATTAAATATACTTTTAATATATCTATTGATATTGTTTAGATTCATCGTCCAAGCAAATCCAATTTGATTTCTGGTTCTGAGTGGCCCACCCAGTTAAAAATTGTACCAAAAAACATTAATTTATTCAGCAGATAATTCTTGAGTACCTACTGTGTGCCCAGATCTATGCTAGGCTTGGATGTATAGTAGTAGCAGAGATAGTTGTGGTCCTGATGGCTCTCAAACTCTAGTGGGGAAGCAGATGTTAAATAAAAACCTCACAAACATGTCATCATAAATTGATATGAAGGAAAATTACGAGTGCCGAGAGAGGACATAGTGTAGAGTTCAGATGATAGGAATTCCCTGATTGGCTTTCAGGGATGGTGTTGGCACTGCGCAGGATGGGGTGCGGCACAGAGACGGAGGGGCACGCCCTTCTCTGAGCAGGGCGCCTGAGGAGTTGCTGTGCAGGGCAAGGTGGTGGGGTCGTCCGGGAGCGCAGAACAGGTATACTGAGAGTGTGCTCATGGGGACTTGTGGGGATGAGGTGCTCCTGGAAGGTGAGCCTTCCAAGTGCATTGCTAGTATCCTGACAGGAGAGATTTGGGATCAGAAGGCATCATTCTTTCTTTAACTGAAGAATTTAACGAAATCTCCGAGGTGGGCCCACATATCTCAGTCGTAGGGTAGATCGCTTCAGAGCTTGTTTCCAACTTGAAATGTGGGCTGCGAGTGCCAGTGTGTTGGCAGAGAATTCTCTCTTGCAATTACAGGATGGCATGCTGTCTTCGAAGATATTTTTGCACTGGTTGCGGAAACTGCGCACTGTGGACCCCGTGCACTACCACTAAGTAGAAGCTCTAAGAGGCCCTTGTGCATGTCATTTTAGAAGATGTGTAATATTAGGCAGCAGGGCTTTTCACTGTGTCTTAGTTTATGATTCGTGGGGTTTTACAGAATGTGTCTAGCCACCGAAATGTGTGTCGATATGCAGACTGGCGATCACGTAGGAGTGTGATAGGTTCTCTGTTAGGCTGAGATGCAGCTCTCCCTGTGCAGCGACCACCCCAGGAACGTGCCCTTTCTAAACCTGCTACCCCAAGAGCTGATGCTCAGGGCTCATCTTGCTAACCAAGGCCACATCTGAGTGAGTGGCTTTGAGGTTCTGCAGAGGAAACTCCTCCCCGGGGGCCATCAGAGTCCCTGTGTAACTGCTGGGGAACATTAAATGACACCTACTGTAATTAACCTGCTGTCGTGAAGCTGCACGAGTCTTGTGTTAAATATGCATTTTGAAGCCAAAATGGCAAACCCACTACAGGCGTGTTCAGATTAATCATCTATATCTCTTTTCTTTCTTCCCAAGAGCCATTTAGGGAACGTGTTAGTGGACATGAAGCTCATCGACATCAAGGACACTCTGCCTGTCGGCTTCATCCCAATTCAGGAGACGGTAGACACACGTGAGTCACCCCTTACTACTTCTTGTCACGATGAGAATTTTCTTCCTTCAGGTATATTTTTATGTGCATTTTTCTTCGGAAACATTTTAGGAGGCCTTACTGCGTGCCCCAGATAAACCCTGCTGCTTTTGACATATGCCTGACTTGGTTCTCCAAGGAGTTTTCAGTGTTCTGGGTAGCGGCATGTAAATGAGCAGAACGGCGCTCCCTGCTGAATCGGCTCACTCAGGAAGGGGACAGTGAAACCGGTTATAGTTTGTCCTTAGCCCGTTCTCCGGTGCTGCTGAAGCCAAGCTTGGCATGAGACCCAGAAGCAAAAGGAAAAAAACCAAAAGCATGCAGGGAACACAAGTGCAGTAATAGCCCCATTTGGGGCTCTTGGAGCACAAAGAAAAGTCGGAACCAGAAAGACTGCAACTTAGAGTCCTCAGGATTCGAAATTGAGGGAAGACTCTGATCCCTGAGAAGCACAGAGTGGAAGTGAGTGGCGGACACGTCGGAAGCTTCTTCAGGATCCTGGGGCACTTCGAGGTTCTTGTCGTGCACGCCAATTATTAAATAGAGCTGGAAACCTCTGGGTAGTTGAGCCTCCTCATTTTGATGTGCTATAACTTGTTTTATTTTAAATTATTTATGACCAATGTTAGGATATCCACAACAGTGATGCAGTAAATAAAAAACAAATACAGAGAATCCTTTCTTTATGACACATGATCCATTTATGAAACTCTGCATTTCACTTTTTGTCACACATACTTTATTTTTCCATAGTTAGCCCCATTTTGGACCTACTTTTTTTTTTTTCTGCTGTTTTCTTGCAAGCATTTCTTATGGACCAGACTTTCCATATTTACACAGATCCCCACATAGCTGTTATTTTAATGGAACAAGTGAATTCCGTTGTGTAGCCTACTTTTCTTAATCGTCTCCTCACTTTTGGACATTGGGCTGCTTTTGTTTGTTACTGACGTGTATTAGCTAATAATTGTGATAGTTGGTATTTAGTATGTCTTTACCGTATGCTAAATGCTCTACATACCTGATCTCATTTAATCTTCAGTAAGACCCCTATTTGCAGATGGGTATTATTATACCCATTTCACATATGAGAAAAATGAGGCACAGTAACTACTTAGGGATTAAAGAGCTTATCCAAGGTTACACATCTAGAAGTGGGGGAATAACTAGATTACACACACAAGCGTGACTCCCCACACTTTTAACCATAGTGCCGCTCTGTAAAAGCATGTGTTTAAGCACCTTTTACCAATAGATTTTATATATTTATGTATTGGAGTTTGGGGATAACAGCTTTCTTGAGGTATAATTCACATACCATACAATTAACCCATTTAAAGTTACAATCCAGTGGTTTTTAGTATATTCGCAGAGCTGTGCAACCCTTACCACAATGAATTTTAGAACATTTCATCACCCCAAAAGAAACTGCACCCGTTAGCAGTCACTCTCCCATTTCTCCCTAGTCCTCTCCTCCCTACCCCGCTGCCAGCCCTAGGCAACCACTAATCTACTTTCCATATAGATTTGCCTATTCTGAACATTTCATATAAATGAAGTTGTATAATCTGTAGTCTTTTTGTGTCTGGCTTCTTTCACATAACATAATGTTGTCAAGGTAGGTTCATGTTGTAGCATGTCAGCACTTCATTCCTTTCTTTATTGCCAAGTAATATTCTGTTATATGGATATACCATTTTGCTTATCCATTCAACTGATGGCTGTTTGGGTTGTTCCACTTAGGGTTATTACGAATAATGCTCCTTTGAACACTGATGCACCAACTTTTGTGTGGCCATATGTTTTCATTGCGCTTGGGTATATACCTAAGTGTGGAATTGCTAGGTCATATGGTAACTCCATACTTAACTTCTTGAGACACTGCCAAACTGTTTCTCAAGGGAGCTATACCCTTTTACATTCCAGCCAGCAGTGTTTGAGGGTTCCAGTTTCTCCACATCTTCAACACTTGTTATTGTCATTCTTTTTAATTCTCACCATCTTAGTTGGTATGCAGTGGTCTCTCATTGTGGTTTTGATTTGTGTTTCCCTTAATGGCTAATGATGTTGAACATTTTTTATATGCTTATTAGCCATTTGTAATTTTCTCTGGAAAAACGGCTATTCTAATTCTTTGCCCATCTAAAATTGGGTTTTCTTTTTATGATTGAGTTGTAAAAATGTTTTAATATATTCTTGATATGTCCTTTATCAGTTATATGATTTGCAAAAATTTTCTCCCATTCTATGGGTTTTCATTTCACTTTTTTTAAATTGAGGTATAGTTGATGTACAGTTATTCCGTTTTCTTGATGCTGTCCTTTGAAACACAAAAGTTTTTTATTTTGGTGGAGTTCCATTTACCTATTTTCTTTTCCTTTGTTGCTCATGCTGTTGGACTCATACCCAAGAAACCATTGCCAAATCCAAGGTCACCAAGATTTATGCCTGTGTTTTCTTCTAAGAGTTTTATAGTTTCAGCTCTTTCATTTATGTCTTTGATGCATTTTGAGTTAAAGTTTGTGAATGGTGCAAGATAGGGGTTCAGATTTGTTCTTTTTTTTTTTTAAATTTTTATTGAAGTATAGTTGATTTAAACAAATGTATTTTTTGCATGTGAGTATCCAGTTGTTCCAGCACCATTTGTTGAAAAGACTGTTCTTTCCCCCGTTCAATTGTCTCAGCATCCTTGTTGAATACCAGTTGACTGTAAGCATGAAGGTTTGTTTCTGGTCTCCGAGTGCTCTTCCATTGATCTATATATGTCTTTCCTTATGCCAGAACCACACAGTCTTGGTTACTGGAGCTTTGTAGCAGGTGTTGAAACCAAGTGATATGAGTCCTCCAACTTTGTCAGGATGATTTTGGCTATTCTGGGTCCCTCAAATTTCCATGTGACTTCTAACATTAGTCAGTTTCTGCAGAGAAGCCAGCTAGGATTTTGATAGGAATGGTGTTGAATCTGTAGATCAGTTTGAACATGTATAGATTTTGAATGATTTCCTTGTGATGCATTTACAAGGACTTGAGGCTGCTGGGTCATGTGTCCTCAACGGCCTGCTCCCGACCTTCCTCTACAGCAGAGGTCCCCAAGCTTTTTGGCACCAGGGACCGGTTTCGTGGAGGACAGTTTTTGTCAGGGGGAGGGGAGGATGGTTCAGGCGGCACTGCCAGCGATGGGCAGTGGCAGATGAAGCTTCACTCGCCCGCCGCTCACCTCCTGCTGTGCGGCCCGGTTCCTAACAGGCTGAGGACCGGTACCGGTCCGTGGCCCGGGAGTTCGGGACCCCTGCTCTGCAACGTACTTCTTACCTTCGAGCACCCCATGCTTTACCCAGACCGAGCCACTTACTGTGCCGTCTTCATGCTCCTTTCTTTTCGGACTCCACGTATTTGCATTGTTGTTTTCCTGGCCTAAAGGCCCCCTCCCTCACTCTGAATATCCACACCCCATGTCTTTCAAGGGTGAGCTCAAGACTGCGTGAAACAGCCTCTGATCCCTAGATGTGAGTCTGAAGCAAGCTCTCTCTCCTCTCCACAGTCAGCCACAATGGATGTGTGTCTGCTGTAGGCACTGCAGGCTCTGGGATATAAAGATGAGCCTAGGAAAAGAACCCACAAGGAGCTCAGTCTAGCGGGTGGCTATAATCACTCGGAGGTCAGGGTCCCCATCTGCCTTCTTTACTGCTTTTCACCTGCCTGGCACAGCACACCTGTGTTGAAGGGAGGGAGGAGAGTAAGCAAATGCCAGTAACAGTGGTGGGAAGCCAAAGGGAGTGCTCGATTCTGCTTCCGAGTTCCCATCTTTACCTCTGTTAGGACAGACTGCACCAGGCATCATGGGAAGAACTTGGGCTCTGGAGTCAGACTCACCTAATATTGAGTCTGCCTCTGCCACTTGCAAATGAGGGACCCTGGGCAAATGACTTCAGCCTCCCGGGCCTCAGTTGCCTCAAATGGGGGGGGATATTTACCTGTTTTCTTCACGCCTTTGCTACTTACTTTCTTTGAGGGCAAGATCCGTGTTTAATTCATCTTTGAATCACCTAAGGTACCTGCCATACACAGTGCCTTGATCAGAGGATGGGCTCAGTAAAGATAAGCTTTATTATCCTCTGCTACGAAATTAACTTCCAGGAAATACCAGTTCACGTTGCCACTAACGATCGCGGCTTGTGCCTGTTTTCCGGCAGGAATGCCAGTTCACGTTGCCACTAACGATCGCGGCTTGTGCCTGTTTTCCGGCAGGAATGCCAGTTCACGTTGCCACTAACGATCGCGGCTTGTCCCTGTTTTCCGGCAGGAATGCCACTTCACGTTGCCACTAACGATCGCGGCTTGTGCCTGTTTTCCGGCAGGAATGCCACTTCACGTTGCCACTAACGATCGCGGCTTGTGCCTGTTTTCCGGCAGGAATGCCAGTTCACGTTGCCACTAACGATCGCGGCTTGTGCCTGTTTTCCGGCAGGAATGCCAATTCACGTTGCCACTAACGATCGCGGCTTGTACCTGTTTTCCGGCAGGAATGCCAATTCACGTTGCCACTAACGATCGCGGCTTGTACCTGTTTTCCGGCAGGAATACCAATTCACGTTGCCACTAATGATCGCGGCTTGTACCTGTTTTCCACCGGCCTGCCAGCATAGGTTTTACATTTTTTATTTAGTTTTACTCTCTAATTTTGTTTAATTTTCACTTATTATTTATTAGCAAAACTGAATATTTTCACGTGTTTGCTTGCTGCTTTTGCTTATTCTTATATGAATGGTCTCTTTAAGAGCTAAAATTGCCTTGTAGACTTTTTGTATTAATTTCCTACTTTTCCCCTGTGTTTTTCTTAGTTTTAAAATTTGCATTGTCGTTAGTTTTTGACAACTAAGTGGCTTAAAATGTCTGTATATTGATATACTATAGAGCCAAGGGGGTTCTCATTCTGCATTTTCCTCTCAATTTGTTGAACCAGTTGAGCGAGGAGGCCCAGGGCTGAGTCCTGGTCTAGCTTCCGTGGGGCCCCAGTGATTCTGGGAAGTCCCCCCACCGTGACTGGGGGTGCACTGGTTACTGCCCCATGGACATTCTGAGGTCGGGTCCTGGCACCTCCAACAAGTGTCTTATCACACAAGGAAGGGTGAGTTTAGGGTCGCCTATTCATTTAAGGTCATGCGGTCATTCCTGGAGCCTTTACCCAGGGACAGGTGAGCTCAAGCTGACCAGATAAACCTGTGGTCAGCTCTGTGATGTTTGAGAGCATTTAGGGTCCTGATTTTATAAAATCAGCCAGAAAGATGAGACTCCTGTAATTAATTTAAAATACGGTTTGTTGCAATCTCTATAGCACTTAAAAAACTGGAAGACTGTTTGTTTTAGTAAAGTGCTATGTCCTTTCTCTGTGTTCATTAGCGTGACTGAACACATTTCTGTGGACTCTGTATGTTTGCTTAAAGTCAGGCCTGTGTAAGCATGTGTAATTAGTGGCTCCATCTCTTACCCCGAGTTTGCTGTAGATGGAAGAATGGAGCAAAGAGCAGCTGGCAGAGCAAGTACATAAAAGACCTGCATCGTAGTTTACTTTGAGGAAAGGTCTCTCCTCCTTCACACTTTCAAAGGCCTGATCTTATGAGCTCATAGTTTTTGAAGCTGCAGGATTGCTGTGGACAGTTTACCCCCAGTTACCACCCCTGCCTTCTTGGATACGATATTTGGGGTCTGGATTCAGTATCCAGTATTATTACTCATAGCTGGTAGATCTGGTCTAGCCCTCAGTTTCCTCACTAGGAAAAGAACCCACAAAGTTTCTGAGTTTCCATCTGGTTCCCCCAAAATGTCAGCACCTGATTCTAATCTCCCCTTTGGTAAAAATCAAGACCAGCAGCAGGACTGCACTTTCCTCTTTATCCCGCTCCCTGATTTAAATGTGCTTATTTCCTGCCACGGAACTGAAAGGTCTTGAAAATCAATGCCAAACACTGACACAAATTGTATGCCAGAGGCTTACTTACAATAATACGGTGAGGGGCTTCCCTGGTGGTGCAGTGGTTGAGATTCCGCCTGCCGATGCAGGGGACGCGGGTTCGTGCCCCGGTCCGGGAAGATCCCACATGCTGTGGAGCGGCTGGGCCCGTGAGCCATGGCCACTGAGCCTGCGCGTCCAGAGCCTGTGCTCCGCAGCGGGAGAGGCCACAACAGTGAGAGGCCCACATGCCGCAAAAAATAAAAATAAAAAAATAACGGTAAGAACATCCATGGCTGTTCTTTTTTTTTAAAGAAGATGTTGGGGGTAGGAGTTTATTAATTAATTAATTAATTTTTGCTGTGTTGGGCCTTCATTTCTGTGCGAGGGCTTTCTCTAGTTGTGGCAAGTGGGGGCCACTCTTCATCGCGGTGTGCGGGCCTCTCACTGTTGTGGCCTCTCCCGTTGTGGAGCACAGGCTCCAGACGCGCAGGCTCAGTAGTTGTGGCTCACTGGCCTAGTTGCTCCGCGGCATGTGGGATCCTCCCAGACCAGGGCTCGAACCCGTGTCCCCTGCATTAGCAGGCAGACTCTCAACCACTGCACCACCAGGGAAGCCCCATGGCTGTTCTTTACTGAGCATTTACTGTGTGCCAGGCACGGGGCTAAGGGAAGCATATATGTCATCACATTTCGTCCACCCGGTGTCCCTATGGCCTCAGGTTTCATTAACTCCCTTTTACCGATAAATTAAGTCACTTGCCTAAGATTATGGTTCTGGATAATGGTGGAGTTGGAATTTCACCCCAGATCTATCCGACTCATGTACTGAATGGCTGCAGTTGATTGAAAGTCATGTTTAAAAACCACAAATGAACAAACAAAAAACACGTGGGTGGTTGTTCACCTTCGGCAGTTGCTGGGGTACCAGCTCATCACTGTAAGACTTGATAAATAGAAGAATCACATATTTATCTCTCCTTTCCTGTAACAAAGCATGTCTCAGGGAGACCAGGTAGTTGAAAAATAAGATGTTTTTTATATAGAAAAATTCCAGCCAATAAATGCAGAAGGAATGACAGAAAATCACTATGTTGACGACTTTAATGAGATTATGAATCTAGGCAACAGTCATCAGGGGATGAGAAAACCTCATGAGCATGGTTGTTGGGGACTTTATAAGTGAGGTACCAACAGCAGTGGGACCTACCGAGGGTGACCCAGCTGAGCCCCAGGCCGCACGTATTACACCGTCGGATGTACGTTGCGTCACCTGTGAAGTGCTCCTGCCTGATCGGAATCGAATCGAGCCTTTCACTCTGCCGGTTTACAGGAAGTACAGGGGGTGACCTGAGTTCTCCATCCTATCAGTGCCCTGAAGATAAAGGGAAGGTGGAGAGGTTGCCACAGAACAAAAGAGGCCTAACAACCAAATGCAGTGCACAGACGGTGTTTGGGTCTCGGTCCAGACAAACCAACAGTTAAATGACACTTTTGAGATAATGGAGAAAACTTGAGTACAGACTCTTGGATGATATTAAGGAATCATTGTTCATTTTGTTAGGAATGATAACAGTCATGGTAAAAAATAATAATAATTTTTTTTAAAAAAGCCTGCCATGGATACCTACTGAGATTTTGGTGGGTGACATGACATGGTGTTGGGGAGTCATTCTAAATCTCCAGCAAAGCTGGAGGGGGTGGGGGAAGGAGATGAAACCAGGTCGCCCATTGTTGACAGTGTTAAAACCAGATGATGGGAACATGTGGATTCATCTTACTGTTCTCTCTATTTGGGGGAATGTTTGAAAATTTCTGTAATAAAAAGTGAAAAAGGACTTCCCTGGTGGTCCAGCGGTTGAGACTCCACGCTTCCAACTGCAGGGGGCGCGGGTTAGATCCCTGGTTCGGGGAACTAAGATCCCACATGCCGTGTGGCGTGGCCAAAAAGTAAAAATTTTAAATATAAATAAATTTTTTAAGAAGTGAAAAAGAAAAAAGACCATGTAGTGAAATGTGTTGACACTCAGGGTGTCCATGTGTTTGTATTTGATGGCTGGAGCAGCAAGCAGGTTGTAGTCGTGGGTTTATTCCAGGATGCTCCTTGCAGAGGTGTGTGTGCCCTTTGGGCCCCTTCTTGGCAGGGGTTGTCGGGGGTCAGGCCCCGAATGCAGGGCAGGGTGACTGGGCCTGTCCACTGCAGCCCTGCGTCCAGCCCTTCTTTCGGGCGACTTGGATGGCTGGTCACTTCCACCGCTGGGAAGGGAACGTGACAGGAGACATGGTGTTGAAAACGGAGACGTGGGCACCTCTGGAAGACTCATCCCTTTTCTTGTCCTTTCCTTCAGAGGAGGTGGCTTTTAGGAAGAAGAGGCTGTGCATTAAATTCATCCCACGGGACTCAACTGAAGCTGCCATTTGTGACATTCGGATCATGGGCCGGACCAAGCAGGCCCCTCCTCAGTACACGTTCATTGGGTAAGTCTCAACAACCCCAGTCTCATCTCTGCTGTCTGCTGAGGGTGCTCACATCACCCCTGGGGACCGGGTCCTGAGACCTTCTGTGTGACCCGTGGGCTCAGCCGTCTGCCTCTCATCAGCCTCTGGCCTTAGCTCTCCTTGCTGCCCTTCCTACCTGGGAGGCCGCTGGTTCAGGACACCATGCTCCTGACCAGTATTCAGAAGTTCTAGAATTCATTCGCCTTGGTCTTGATTGATCTCACTGGGGTCACGTGCACCCTGAGCCCGTCGCTGCTACCAGGAAAATGTCAATCTCTGATTGACCAAGTCTGAGCTGAAAGTGGGGTCAGCTCCATTGGAACTCAGGCACTGGGAATGAGGGGTGGCTGCTCCCCGAATACAGAGGGAAGGTAAAGCGTCAGAAGAGGGATGAAGGGATGCTGGATGTCCAAAAGATAATAGGTGTTCACCCATTATACTCAGTCAGCTGAAATTCGGGTCTCTCAAATTGATAGTGTGGTTGAGGGTTTTCGGCCTCTTGGCCATGTGCCTCTCCCTGGCCAGCTTTGCAACCTTCTTGCTTATCCCTGTGGGTCCCTACATCATGGATGCGTTCTCCTACTTGGCTTTTGAGGTCGGCCTCCTGGATCTTGCTCATTTGAGCCCAGACCCTCCTCTTTACTCGAAAAGCCACGGCCTTTACTTGAAGGCTGCTCACGGACTGGGTGATAGAGAGAGAGATAGAGCTGCGGTGTTTGCTTGAAGCACGTGGGGAGCAGGTGTCACAGAAATAGAGGTTATTTTCATCTTGGTGCACGATAGCTTGTTTGGACTCTTCAGCTATGGAATCTGATTCTCTGTCTCAAGATCTTGTGGTCCTTAAGAAGGACTCAGGCTTCCCTGGTGGCGCAGTGGTTAAGAATCTGCCTGCCGATGCAGGGGACATGGGTTCAAGCCCTTTTCCAGGAAGATCCCACATGCCGCAGAGCAACTAAGCCTGTGCGCCACAACTACTGAACCTGCGCTCTAGAGCCTCCGAGCCACAACGGCTGAAGCCTGCGTGCCTAGAGCCCGTGCTCTGCAACAAGAGAAGCCACTGCAATGAGAAGCCCGCGCACAGCAACGAAGAGTAGCCCCTGCTCGCTACAACTAGAGAAAGCCTGCGTGCAGCAACAAAGACCCAACGCAGCCATAAATTAATAATTAATTTTTTTAAAAAAGGACTCTATGATCATACCCTTTCTACACACTCAAAAATCCTGTTTTGCAACATGGTTTAAAGTCATTATGGAAACAGGATTATGGAAGTAGAAAATAGGTAAGAAAATAACCATACTTCAGGTATCTTAGAAACAGCCATTTACATACAAATAGTAGAAACCAACAGTTTAATAATTACTACATGTATTATGTATATTCAGTTGCTATGTGTATTCAGTTCTTTAAAATTGCACACTATGCTACTTTAAAAGATTCAATTTTTAACCAATTTAAACAATTCTAAAGAATAGATTCTTACCATATATGTCTTGGTAATCAAAACTAGAATCCCTTTTTTATATCATTTTGAAAAGATTGCTAAATAAAGTATATTTTTGTTTCATCTTGGGGCAAAAATTCTTTTTCAGAGGAAGACAATTCCAGTGTTATTTTTAAGGAAAGAGAATTCAGTGTTCAGAGCTCTGTCGCTTTTTCTTAAGAATGGGCTCAGTTCCACAGGTTACTTTGCGAAGGTCTGGGGTTGTCAGACGGGGAACAGCTCCTCCAAGGCCTGACTGTGGCCTGATACCGAGAGGTGGCAGAATCAGTGCAGCTGGTTGGAATCAACCACCTGATGAGACGCGGCCGTGGTTCAGAATAGTTCCGCGGTGTACTGAGAGGCCGCCAGAAGAATGCTCTGAACAAATCTGTTCTCAGTTTTTGGAGGCATGATCTTCCTCTACATCCCAACGTGTAAGTTCTGTGCAGCAGCTGAGCAGTTGGACGTTGATGTGTCTAAAATAATCCTGTTACAGTTCCTGCGAGTATGCCTGTCTCATAAACACTTGTGACCGTGGGGCATGGGGCCGGGCTGCGGGGGTGTGTGCAGATCAAATAACAGGAACCCTGACGTGGCATCCGTCGGGCCCTGTTGTCACTACCCTTAGTTGTGGTGGTTCATGGGACACATGCCTCGGGCTCTGTGAAGATGTCTCCCAGACTGAGCCTGAGAATAAGGCTGACACCAGGTGACACCGGGCAGTGAGGAGCTTTACCCTGGAGGTGGGGGGCAGGGGGAGGGGGGCAGCACGGCATGGAGCTGGGTGGGGCTCATTCTCCCCATAGCTAAACCCCAGGCACGTGTCAGCCCAGTGCCCTATCTGTCTCGCCCTAACCACACAAAGAACTTGAAGCAGCTGGTCGCACGAATACCCACAAGGAAATGGCGGAATACGAAGAATTTTGCAGACCGAGAACCAAGGAAAATGTGGATAGCATATGGTAGGAAGGCAGGCCCAGGGGTGGGGGAAGAAGATGGCCACGTCAGACGGGCCTGCTGAGTTGGGACAGTTGCCATCACGTTAGGCTTTGAACTGTGATGCCCAGAGCACAAAGGGAGGTGATGTAACCCACCTTCATGGGCAAGAATTGATTCCCTGGCGTCTGAGGCTGTGATTCTCTTAAATGAGTTGGTTTGCTTTGTAGCTCAGGTAACTTTATGTTAAACGGTGCTGTGAAGATTTCTCTTTTCTCCCAAAGGGAGTTGAACAGCATGGGGATCTGGTATCGAATGGGCAGAGTACCAAGAAATCATGACTCATCTCAACCCACGACGCCTTCCCAGCCATCAGCTGCCTCCACCCCAGCCCCCAGCCTTCCCAGGTGAGGCCCTGTCAGTGGCGTCTTGTTCTCTTATGCATGTCACAGAGTCATGTGGTCTTGGGTCCCACTGCGTAACGTCTTAGAACCCCTCCACTTGCTATCTGCGGAAACATTGCAGAAGCGATATACCTTTAGAGGAGGTTTTACAAAATCAGTTAGAAATCTTTGCGTTACATGAACGTAAAAGCCATTCTGTCTTGCACCTATTCTGCAGGCTTCTAAAGTAGCAGAATATGCAACTTAGAATGGGCTTGTTATTCTAAAGAGCTCATAGTCGCACACAGACACATGACTTGTAGCCACGCTGCTGGGAGTGCTGGCCGTAAAAGGTGGAATTCCTTCTCTGCCTTGGCCAGCAACTCTTTCAACTGCAGGAGGGTTGGTAGGTAATTTTGTTCATTTCCATATTGTTCCTGTTCCCAAAGAGCTGCAAACTAAGACATAGGTACTTTGGGTAGGAGAGAATAGTGAGAAGTTTTTCAGGGGCTGTTAGTTTTAAATAGTTGTCTCCACAAAGAAACTGGGGTGAGCAGACCGGTCTCTGCACCTGATTTCCGTTGGAGCAGAGGCAGTAGTGGTGCCAACACCTTCAAAAACCTCTGCATCATTGGCGTAAATTATTTGAGGACAGGGAACAAACAGCAATGATAGACTAAGCTTGAGAAAAGAATTACAAAAGTAAATAAAGCCAGTACGAAGATGTGAGGTGGTGCCGTTTGGAGCTGGACGTAACATAAATGAGGACGGATCTCAGAGCTTCCACGTGGGCAGTTCGAGGTGCGCAAAATCGGCCAGGAACAGGACAAAACCATTACTGGGTGCTTCCCCCTCCCCACGCCCCACGGTCCACACCCTGCCCCCGAGAGTCAGGGGAGAGGGTGGTACAGGCGGTCTCCTGCGCCCTGTTCCTCTGCTGGGCTTCCCGCTGCCTCGGACGAATGCACAGTCGTGAGCCGGCAGCTCGGGGCCTGTCCTTCGGGGTGTCCTCCAGAAGACAGTCTGGCCTTTTTCACTCTCGACAGTTTCACAAACCAAGAGCGGTACTTAATCGTATCTACCCCTGCCATCGCCTGAAACTTGAGGAGTGTTGACAGTTTTCAGTTTCACTTTGGTGTGAAGAGATATGACTAACTGATGAGCTTCCCAGGGTTGCGCGTCTTTGGTTTAGGAGTATAAGGCTCGCACAGCTCGGTAGCACTTTGGAGTTCCTTTCTCACTGCCCAGGTCACCGTTGAGGCTGCGGTTCCCGTCACGTGTGCTCAGGGTCAGCTCAGGCCCGTCGTCTTGGAGAGGTTCCAGCTGCTTCCTGTTGACATTATATGATCTGGAAGGGCCTAGAAATAGGCACCACCTCAGGGCAGGTTTTAACTTGCTGTGAGATAAAGGAAGAGCTCTGATTGTCCACTTAAGGCAGGAAGAGCGATCTCCCCAGAAGCTAGCCGGTCAGCGTGGGTGCACGGGCTCTAGGAACTGAAGCCAGGGGACCTGAGAACACAGGCCACAGAGAGCCACACAGACCTGGAGATAGTGCGTGGGAACAAGCCTTGTGAGGCTTATGTATTTTATAACCTCTTGTACAATGGTTTACAATGGCTTCAGGGAAATTGGATCCGTTTTGTTTTACTTGCCAAATAAAGCAAATGTCAAAATAGTCAATATAAAATGTATTCTAATTTGACTGAGTTAAGTCAGCCAGTATGCAGTAGGATAATTGAATGTTACATTAATGCTTCTCAGTAAAAACCACTTGTCTGTCCCAAGCTCTCCTCTCTCACTATGCAGTAAATTTACAGATGGCCTGTACACCTACATGAGCCCCCTAATTCATCAGGGTTTTTTTATGTTCTTCAGTTTTCGTATTGTTCTCCTATTGTGCATCTTTGATAAGAAATGAAATGCTGGGCTTCCCTGGTGGCGCAGTGGTTGAGAGTTCGCCTGCCGATGCAGGGGACACAGGCTCGTGCCCCGGTCCGGGAAGATCCCACATGCCGTGGAGCGGCTGGGCCCGTGAGCCATGGCCGCTGAGCCTGCGCTTCTGGAGCCTGTGCTCCGCAGCGGGAGAGGCCACAGCAGTAAGAGGCCCGTGTACCGCAAAAAAAAAAAAAAAAAAGAAATGCTGATTTTTCAAATTTTCACTGAAGATTTATGAAATGATGAGTATGTTATTCCGTGAGGCTTCAGATCCCTGTTATCTGTCCAGCAGAGGAAACTAACAGCTTTCTCTCTGGTGGTGAGCTGTGGATGAGGCTTTTGTCTCCGCTGGGGGCCTGCAGTGGGCCTGTAGGATGGAGGCCTCCAGGTCTGGATCCCAGGATTAGTCTTCTCTCTCTTGTCCCCACACCTCAAACTTTGAACCAATAGCCTCTTTTCCCCTTCCTGTTTTGTGCTTCTGTGCCTTTGCTCATGTGGACACCTGTGCATCAGGTGTGTCTCCCATCCCCCACCTCAGATGTCAGCGCAAATGCCGCCTCTCCCAGGAGGCCTTCCCTGAGTGCCCTGTGCCCGTGCCAGGCTCTCCCCTCAGAGCGCTTCTCAGCCATTATGCCTTCACTCATGTTGTAAACTCCTTAAAGGCAGGGACTGTGTCTAGTGCCTTTTATTTCCCAGAGCTCAGCCCAGGTGCAGGCATATATTCAGTTTTGCAACAAATGCTTCTCCAACAGCCTCAGACCCTGGGCTGCAGCCTCTCCACTCCCACCCGCAGACAGCTCCTGAGTCCCTGAAGACTCCTCAGGTTTTTCTGATTATGAGAGGAATACAAGCTTGTAGAAAACTGACAGAGTATAGAAAATAATGAAAAAAACAAATACCATCTCCAGTAAGCAAAGGCTCATAACCTTTGGCTATATTTCCTTCAAGTCATTTTTCTGTGTACTTTTTACATAGGTGATATCATATCGTAAAATAGCAAGTTTGTTTTTGCTGCTTCTTTCTCCTGTACTATTAAACCACAAGCCTAAGAAATACCTCAGCTGTGGCCTTTGTGTGGACACAGGGATCAAGTTGCAAAGCCCAGGCTGGAGGGAGAGTGCGGTGATGCAGCGCCCTCTACTGACCAGATTTGGAGGAGCCTGGAGGACAGGCAGGCCGGTTCCCCCGCGGGCAGCGGGCCGTTTTCCCAGCCAATCCCCGGGGGAAGGAAGGGAGTCAGGGAGGGCCAGTAGCCGACCATGTTGCCTTCTTGAGCCGGAGCTTCTGTCTGAAAAGCTAAAAACGTGTTCGCTGTCACTCGTATATCAAAGAACTTCCTGTCACTTTTTGGAGAGCTGTCATCCCCAGCTTATGTCAGACAAAAGGGGCAGCTGGTGGAGTTTCTGTTGATGGGTCATCACCTGAGGCCCTCGTGGTCCTGGCAGAGCCGCCTTCCCTTTCCAGAGGCCGGTACTGCCCCTCAGAACGAGCACCTCCTGCCCGTTTCCTCCCTGTTACTGCAGAGAATGCTAGTCGCGGGGCCAGATGTGGCGTTGTCCTTTCAGGATGGGCAGTCCCCTTGGCTGTATCCGGTGAATGGGGCACAGTGGTCGAAGGTCACGGCCAAAGGCAGGATAAGATGTGTTGGCAGAGCTCCTCTTCCTCACCCAGTGAGTCTTCATCACACACACACACGTCTCTGTGCTCATTTCTTGACAGTTTTTCCCACGTGAAGAAGGGCATGCCACTTCTTCCGGGGGCCTGGAGCCTCCATTTTCTCCCTGGGCCCCAGCGCTGCCCCGTCCTCTGCCGTCCGCTTAACACACATTGATCAGCAGGGTGCGCCTGGCCTTGGGCATCGGGCGTGATCCCACGTCCCCACCTCTCTCCCGGGGTGGCCTCAGCTTTGCAAGTCGGCCTGGTGTGTGAGAGCAAACGTCGGGGTCCCTGGATTTGGGCTTTTCTGATTGCTTCTTTGCTGCTGCTTTGGGCACGTGCAGACAGAGGAAGCACCTTCCCCCTTCAGCCAGAGCAGCCCCCGCTCCTGTCCCACACACTGGCTCTCACATATGATTCTGCAGGGAAGAGAAGGTTCAGCTTCTGCTGGAACCGAGGTCCGGAAAAGCTCGGAGAGGCAGGTGGACTTGCAGTTGATGGAGTACCAGTAGCCCCAGAGTGTGGCTGAGTGAACAGTTCTGTGCCTTCCCACGAGGGGCCCTGGTGGGCTGCTGCCCCCGGCTTGCTGAACAGCAGAACCCGTGGCTTGATAAAGACATCAGAGGCATGCATATCAAATGTGCAGATGACACAGAGTCATTAGGGAGAGCTGATGTGCTGAGTGACAGAATCAATACTCCGCATCTCCTCTACAGCCAGAATACCCTGCCGCTACCGGGGGATGAAAGGTGATGGGCGAAAATGGACAGGGCCCCCAAGGTTCAAAAAGTCAACTGCTCGGGCACCAAATTGAGGAGATGTGGCTTAGCAGCGGTTCATGTGAAGTAGCCAGGCTGGGCACGAGCTTGGGTACCTCGAGTGCAGCCTGGCGTGCACAGTGGGGCACGCCCCCTGACCCGGTGTCCTGGGCCTGTCAGGACATCAGGAGAGTCGCGTCCACTGCCACGCACCACCTTGTCAAAGTTACCCGACTCGAGCATTGAGCTTGAGTGTGAGGAATCGCTGAGTTTTGATCTGAGTCAAGGCGAGGCAGCTGGCTTCAAATGTCTAAATGGTCACCGTGTAGAAGGGAAAGTAGAAGTGCTTCCAGGTGGGGCTGGGGCATTGGGAGCCCCTGAAGGCAAAATTAGATCAGGTGGGATGAAGTTATAAGGAGGTAGGTTTGGGCTTAACATTTTAAAAAATTAATAAAGAGAACTTCCCAAGGGTAAAAAAAACCCCCTGGCATTGAAGAAGCCGGCTTGCGAGGTCATGTGCACCCAATTGCTGGCAGTATTCAAACAGCCTTTGGGTTTTCAGACCTTCAGTGATTCTTGAAATGCATCATATTCCCTAGCTCCACCCTCAGAAATACAGATTCAGCAGACCTGCACGTTAGGGACGCAGACACCTTGCCCCGGGTGACTCGGGGA